GGTACTAATATATTATTGCTTCATTGATTGGTACATGAGAAAACAGCTCTACAAAGGCTACAAGTAAGACAAAGCAGCTAGTAAGTAACAGAGACAGAACTTATATATAGTGTCTTTTTACCTCAACACACTTGGCAGCTTGTCAAGTAGATATTGTAACTGAATGCATTATATAGTCACTCCTTGGAAAACCAGATTTGTACCTAAAGAGGATTGTCCAAATTCTAAGCTGATTGTCTAATGCTGGTCTAGCTATTTTGAGCCCAATGAAGTCTTCCCTACTAAGCCATCACCTTGGCCATCATAGAAATCTTTTCAGATCTTAGGATTGGTTGAATTTAAATTATAACCTATTGGAGGTAAAGGATTATTTTAATGCTTGCTCTTTAAATGGTAGTTGGATGATACTTTAAAGTAATAATAATTTTAAAAGGTTGTACCTGATTTATATCTTCCAAAGCCAGTTTACATCAGGAACTTATATATCAGGTTTCCATGGAGATGTCTCAAACCCTTTAGGCATCTGACCAAAGAGAGTACCTGGGATAAAATAAGATCTAAATAACATCCAAATGTGTGTGTGTGCATGTGTGTGTGTGAATTACTATGGAGCTCTCTTGAAGATTATGTAGCTTAAGTTGCTTAATTCATAATAGTATTTTCTATAATATAATGAATCACAAGAAAGTAAAATAGATTATGTTGGGGGATAGATATCAGAGGGATGGAGGAAGGCCAATGAAAACGTGAATTAAGGTGAAGATCGTCAAAGTAATTTATATGCACATATGAAAATATAATATTGAAACCTATTGAAATTGAAGGTAGGAAGAGAGATGAGGGAGAGATGGAAAAAATGAGTTTGATTTGAGTACATTGAATGTATGTGTGTATGAAAATATCACAAGGAAATTCCCTTTTTGTATAACTAATAAATGCTAATTTAAAAAGCATTTTGTATATAGACACTGCTTTTAGGTATGCCAGATGTCACTTTACACAATGGCGGCCAATAAAAGGACCTTATTTGCCCTATAACAGACTGTAGCCTGACCAGTAATACTAAGTTTTAAGTTCTTACAAAGGCCAATCAGTAGAATATTTATTAATAATATCCAAGATGACTGTAACATGTTCTGAATTTAAACCAGCCCTTAATGTATGATTCCTGGCATACTCTTGGCTTTCCTGTAGCCAGAGTTTATCTATTTTCACATGACATAAAAACTGCATGACCTGGATAACCTACTTTGCAGGTAACCCACTTGACCTGTGATTAGCCAATGCCTTCCATTGTTGCAGGTATAGAGAAATGATCACATTATATTTGTCCTTGAAAGACCTAACACTTAATTGGAAACAGTTTAAAACAGGATTAGACAGTATATAATAGGGTATTATATTACTTACAATAAACACCTATCTTGTCTCTGTGTTTTTCCTTTTCTTTCAATAAATGACTTAGACAACATGTAAAGCATGCTTGTTAAATGTCTGAAAGACACAAATCTGGAAATGAGAAATGGAAGATTGATATATTGAGTGCTAGAAATAATGGTTCTGTAGACAAGAACACTGTGCTCAGAACAAGGACTAACAAGTTGAAATTAGCAGCAACAAACAGAAGGCCAGACATTTAGTTTCAAAAAAATCCAATACCCTATCTATAGGATGGGGGAAAAGGTGTAATTTTCACATTTTAAAAATCTTACTGACTTTTTAATTACCCTCAACTTGCATCCAAAATCCAAAGGGGCATGGTGAGGGTTGGGAAGTCTATAATCTCATCTGTGAACCTCGCCTCTTGATGCACCTGGACGAACACACTTGCTGACCTAGAATGCACAGTTGAAGAAAGAAAATATGCTCACTGACTTGAGCCCATCAGCAATAGACACAACACTCATAGAAGGGCATATTTGATAAAATACGGAGACTACGGTGTTGAGTGACAGGGAAACCAGGCTTTACAGAAATGTTGAGTAACCACAGGATGTTTAGTCTAGAGAAGAAAAGATTATGAGGCTTTGATGGTTGTTTTCAAGCATTTGGAGAGCTATTGTGTGACAATAAGGAGAGTCTTAAGACCTTTGTGGGTTATTCCATTTGGACCAATGAGATGTTATTTAGAGAGAGGCACATTCATTTTTGGTGACTTCATAAATTTTTCTGCCCACCTAAACAAGCCTGCTTCTAAAAGTACCTAGATGAAACTGTCTGTCCATCTGTCCTGTAAACTGCTTCTTTCTGGAAAGAAGCCAGACTTTGTCAATCATTGGGGCAAATGATCTTTAAGAATCCCTTTGATTTTTTCGTCTTCGTTTACACAATGAAATGGGAAGTAACAGAACATATGCTTCCCTGAAGCCTTCAGATTCACAAGAATTTTGCAAGCCTATAGCTAATAGATGTATTTTCCCATTACCCTGAAAATAATTAAGTGGAGTAGGGCTTTTAGTTCTCAGAAGAGCATTTCACAGCTGAGTCATATTTGGTAAACTTATTTCTATCAAGTTTAATCCAAATTTATAAAGCATTTTAACAAAAGAGGAATGGTAAAGTAATACAAACCATCAACTACAATACATCCATTTAACATTCATAAACAAACAACCTTACAAAGTAGTTACTGTTACTGTATTGTCTTAACAGAGGAGGAGTTTTCATTACATTTTGCAACTAAGAATTTGTTTCAATAGTCTGGCCTATAATACCATATCACTAGTAATGGTATGAATGTAAACTTGAAAAATAATCACATGCCTAGTGGACCAGGCACTTTATATATGCAATCAAGTGTGGCTTCATGACTAGTGCAGGTATTATTTAATGATTGGAATCTGATCTAAGAAATGTGTCAATCAGTAATTTTGTGGTTGTGTGACCATCCCACACAAACCTGGATGGCATAGCCCATTACACACCTAGATACTATGGTGTATGTATGCTACAGCAGTGTTATACAGCACCTGACTATATGAACATACTAATGTTGTAAGTTGAGACATTTAGATGCAGGTGAGCAGGATAATGAAAGAATCATTAGGCCAACTCTCTCTGTCTTTGGGATCATATCCTAGCTAGCTTGAATATGGGGTCTGTAGTATGAGACTGTGGGATGTTAGCAAATAAAGTTATTTCATGATCTCTTCCTTGCAGGGGTGGAATGGTCCAAACTAGTGAGCAGTATGAATTTGTGCACCATGCTCTGTGCCTGTATGAGAGCAGACTTTCAGAAGAAACTGTGCAATGATATACTGAAGATAACTAGATCATCAGTCTACTGGGTGATGAATCAAAGCACCCCCACTTGAAGCTTCAAGAAGAAGCTTCCTGGGAATGAGGGATGGAGGAGCTCTGAAACCAACCTGTGGCATGGATTGTGGGAGGCCTGGCAACCTACTCAAGATTGCCAATCTCTTGTGTATATTAGTGCATTTGTAAGCATCCCCAAGTTATTTTGAAGGTTCTATGCTGATGGAGGTATACTAAATTTCTCACAAAGCCTAAGGTGGCTTTTGTTTTGTCTGTATTGGGTACCAACCACATAGAATGTATGTATGTATGTATTATAAAGTGGTCTCTGTCATCAAATGATGATTGGAGGCACTGCTGAAGACATCATTATTGTGTGTTTACATGCTCTAATGTCTGTAGTCTGTCTCGTGAATGGACTGTTCCAATTTTAAGTGCTATTATGTATCTCAGTTACCAGAATCTTGCTGCTGATGTTGCAAGTGATTGATAATGAATTTTTAACAAATAAGTTTTTCTTTAAAAAAAAGCAATCTAACACAGTAACTATTTTATATGGAAATGTGTCTTGATAACATTATCTACTAAATGTGTATTTATAGTACCTCCTATCAATTACAGAGCACAATGATTGTCACTGGATATATATGTACGTATTCTCTATTATTAGGCATAGAGGTGGCTCCCCAGACCCACCCTCTATCCACTATATTTCTACATTGTAAATTGTTTTACTTTAAAGGGGGAGTGGGGAATTTGTAGCAACTATGAAGTATCAAGAATTTCAAATACTTGTCTCTCTTTTACTAAAGAAGGGACCTTTGTATATGCTGTCTACTTGGAATCCCTCTTCCAAAGAGGCAGGACTTTGCTGTGACGTGTCTCATGTCCAGAGTTCTTCAGATGGACGCTGCTATGACTGTTCTTACACTTCTGAGAGGTCTTCATCTGCACGAGACAAAGTTAAAATAACTACACTCAGAAAACACAACGTTCTGCTCAAATATGAATTTTTAATGCAGCAATGCTAACTTTGTTTCATACTGCCAATAAATTACCCTTAATACTAACTCCTGAGTATTCTTTTATTTATTATTGTAATTTTCTTTCTTCTTTTCCTATTTAGAGAGAAGCCATTGTCTGTTTTGGGGAAGCCTGAAGTAGATAACTTGATGGGTTTAATATTAGTCTGTATCTCCCCAGCAGAGATGACTGTCTTGAAAGGCGATATTATCATCCCTTGAGAGATCTCATAGTGCCATCATTATGTGGCTTTCCTTATAGACACCTAGCATATCATTATATAAACAGTAAATGTTTATGGCTTTTAGCACTTGTCACAGACCCTCATAAATTATATGCTTTACATCTATTCTGCAGAATCACATCACCTGACAAGTTGTAAGTTTGCAGAAGTATTCAATTATCCAAGATTACAATTCCTTTCTTTCCTCTCGAGGTTAGAAGTACTCATGAGCCAAAAGGAGGATAGGTGAAGACTTAAAGATGTTTATTCTGTTCCTGGAGGCTAGATCTACAGACAAAAAAAAGAAGTAAACTTATTCCCTTCTTTCTAAGGAAACAGACAAAAGGACACTGGTGTAAAACTTCCCCAAACAATTCAATTGGAGGAAGTGCTCGTCACTGACTTTTCCCCTCACCATGAAGGCACATTTCCTTCCTAGTCTTTGCTTCTCTTATCTGGGAGAAAATTTTCCCCCCTAAGCGAAGCTGGAATGGTTGTTAAGTGGAAAATGGAGGCTGAATTTTACGTGGCGATTCTTACCTGCTTGATCTTCAGGAACATGGGTGAGTGGATCTACCTCTGTGTCTGAGGCATCTCTCCTAATGCTAGCTAGCCAAAGAGGTTTGGAGCCTTTGAAAGGTGTCTGAAATAAGGCTGGAATGGTAAGGTCTTCATGGCAGGGAAGCCAAAGGCGATGAGGAAGGGGGGATAAGCGCAACCAGCTGTGGCCACACTGCTGAGATTTCTCCAACAGAAAATTCAAAGCTCTCCTCCTTTCATCCAAGTGTTTCAGGCAGCTCACCTCCTAAAAGGAAGGACAGTTGTATAGCAGAGAGTAAAGACTCCTGTGGAGAACTCTTTTATTATTATGTGACAGTCTATAGCCTAATCGTGCTTTTCCCCCCCAATCGAGTTGTAGTTTTGCTTTCTTTTGTGCTAAAAACAGAAAATACAGAGAATCTGACTAAAGGAATAAAGAACAGAGCTTTATTTGGATGTTGTCATTTGAAAGGACTGGATGTTTTCTTGGGAAAACTCTGGAGAATTTAAAAGAAACCCATTGAAGATGATTTCTCAGGCTTATTGTCTTCATTTTTTAAATATAGATGCTTAAGAATAAGATGTTTAATTTTCATACAACAAGAAATGCTGACTTGTAAGAAATCTGTCAGTATTTGAGAGAAAACTTATACATTGTCACAAAATACATTCTTCTTTCCAGGACTACAGGAAATTTGGGTTGTGGTGATATTTTACTTGTTTTCAATTAGCTGAAAGGCTGTGCCTGAAAAGGGAGGAATTTGGTTTTTTGGTCTTTAAATAAATAGGCCCAACTTTTAAAAAAACACATTGTATTCAAGCTGTGCAACTCATATAGAAACATTTATTACAATGTGAATTTAAGTATTGGAAAGGAGATATTTTAAGCATGATAGTGTGGAGAAAATTAAATAGTTAAAAGAGGCTTAACTTTATATAACTGTAGCATATTTGACTAACCCTGTTCTTTGGACATATCTCTTCTCAACCAAAAGAAAACCATATTTGCTGGATGGGTTAGTTTCTTTTCCCAGCTTCCTTTCATTTGTTCCAATGAGGGCGTGTTTTCTTTCCTAAACTATGCAAAAGTTTAAAAGGGCCAGTGGGAGGGGGGATGAGGAGGAGATGGGAGAATGTCTAAGGGTGACATGGCATTTTCCATTGTCAGTCTTGGGATTTTATCTTTTCTCTTCTTCAAATCACATGTGTTGAATCTGAGAATATTCACTTGAAGGGGCAGAAACAGCAAAATATAAGTAAAACTCATACTTTCACTCAAGTGATTTGTGGGTATATAGTTTTATGTTTAATAGCCATTGAAGTTTGTTACAGTATTTTGTAAACTTTTCATCTTCCAGAGGGGTTTCAGATTATCCATGTCCAGAAACAACAGTGCCTTTCCATAAATCAGAGAGTGATCATGGGCGCATGCAATTGGACCAGCCAGAATCAGCAGTGGCTGTGGACTAAAGATGAGAAGCTCCTCCATGTTAAATCTGCATCGTGCCTGGGCATCTCCAACTCCTCTGGCGGTCCTTCCCGGGCAGCCACCTTCATCCGCTGTTCCCAGGCACCCCGATGGACCTGCTATGAGCAGGACGGGTTCCTTGAGGTGGAAAATACCTCTTTCTTTCTCAAGAAACAAGGTCCCAAGGTAGTAGTCAAGAAGGGCAGGAAATACCTCCATAGCTGGATGAAAATAGAGGTCAACAAGGAAGGAAAACTGGTGAATGAAAGCCTCTGCTCAAAGAAAGGTGAGCTATTCGTGTCAGAATCTATGTGAAAGTCTTTCTGCTCGGTGGCTTGGTTTGATACATCTAAGGGAGATCAGTATGCCCTGATATGTTCCCTATGGAAGATTCATCATCTAGTAGAAGTCAACTATGTAGTGCCCCATGATGGAAACCATTATCCTCATTTTAAAATGCCCAACTTACCTCTAGCACTTATTCTTCCTTTTATTTTACTAATTCAACAAATATTTCTTAAACTTCTCTTTTGTGCTAGATCCTGTGATTAGGTTCTATCACATGTTGGATGCAGATCTGGGCATAAAACACAACATATATGTGCATATATGCATGTACACAGGCACACATGCACACACACATACATAAGTAGTGACTAATGACCTGGAAATTATGAGGTTTTGCTGACAGATGCTTCTGTCCCCTGATGATAGGGTCTATTAGTACACTGACAGGTGCTAATTGGACTGTAAAGGTAATACTTCATGCTTTTGCAATCCTTTGCATTGATATTTAGGAGAGAATATACATTTTCAAAAAGGTAAGAACCAATGAACAACCTCAGATAAACTGAGAACAGAGCTATGATAAGAACCTAAGTGTCCAGTGTGCTTTACCAATACAAGTCAAGGGTAAAAAGAGTTTAGATACCTTTTCCAAGATTTACCAAATCTACTTTTATTTGTAGAAATGGTTGGTAGTGGTATAAAGTTATTACCTATGTTCAGATGCTTCATATATATGAGATGACATAAAATATTTCACCTTACAGTTCCACATTTACTCCACACTTACTACATATTCATTCATTCAAATATCCCATGTACTTCAGACAGACAATTTTTCAAGTGCCCTTGATTTGACTGAGCTGATGATCTCATGTAGGGATATTTTTTCTTTTTTGCTGATGTAGTTAGCCACATTGTCATCAGTCTTAATGTAACTGCTGATTAAAATAATTGTCTAAGGTAATGTGGGTGAGGGTATAAAATGCATAAGTATTGCAAAAGGTAAGCACTTGTATACTCTTATCAGAGGAAAAGGACTTACTAGAAAGTATTTGTTTTAGTTTCCAGCAGAAGAGTTTGTGGGGGGAAATGAAAACAAAGTATCCCTTGTATATACAAATTTTCCTGTGATAGAGTTGGCTAACACAATTATTTTTGGCATTCTTCTCTTTGCAACATCAACATGGTTTTGTAATGGGTCATATTCTTTGATAATGAATGGTGATAACTTATGGGACTTCTACAACCATTGGCACAGCATCCAAATTTCCCTAACCATCTTCAGTCTGTGACATGTCAATGTGGCTCTGGCTGGTTTTATGTTTGTTTGTTTGTTTGTTTGTTCTGTCAATGTGAACTTCTTTCTCCATTTGAAATAACTAGCAAAATAATTTGGTAGATTTTCATGGACTCTAAAATTCTCATTATTCCTGATATGTAAAAAAATTCATTGACTTTAAATTTCTCTTACTTTCAATTAAATAATTCTTTGGGCCTAAAGATGATACTAGACACTGTGATTATTGTACCTAATTAACAGGCAAGTCCTGCCCTTCCCCCTGCCCCCATATGACCTTACATATGATCTGATAGATCTGAACTTACATGTCTTTCTTCCTCCTTCATCTAGTGTGCTTTCTTCTTCTACCCTACAATCTCATGGTTTTTTTTTCTCAAGTCAAAAAAAATGGGTATTGGAATGAACTAACACATGTTCATACTTACAATGCTTAAGGAATAGTTAACTCCTGAGAAGTATTTCTTTAATGTCATTAGTCTACTTTTTAAATCTAAATTTATTACTATACTATGTTTTGGTGTTTTCTTAAGCTATGTGTTGGTTTGCATTTCCATCTATTAATTTTACTTTAGTTCCAATTTAGATTAAAAATGATATATAATACATATTTAAATATACTTCATTGATTATATTTTCTGAAATGTTAACTAATTTTATCATGTCCAATAATCATTTAACTACTATAATTCCTATCCATTTCTCTTTCTTTCTATTGGAGTTGACTATTGTATAGAAGGAATATGTATGTATTATCCTTTTTTCTAATATACTTCTTATTTTATTTGTAAACTTTTCCAGATGAGTTGCTCACATTTAAAAGGCAGATTATATTTGGCATCTTCCAAAATAACACAAAGTACTAGAATAAAATAGTTAAAATTTCCCTTCTCAAAAATGAGTTAAATTCAAGTTATTGTGTTTTTAACATGCTTATTTAAAGAAGAGAAACTAATCATTTGTGTATCAGCACACAAAAACCTCATTTCTAGCCATGGTTATTTCTAACTCAGTCATAGGTCATAAACTAAAATACATATTGCTTATTAAAAATTTATTCAGGGGCTGGGAAGGTGGCTCGGTGGTAGAGCACTTGCCTTGCATGCATGAGGCCCTGGGTTCGATTCCCCAGCACCACATAAGCAAAAAGAAAAGCCGGAAGTGGCGCTGTGGCTCAAGTGGTAGAGCATTAGCCTTGAGCTGAAGAGCTGAGGGACAGCGCCCAGGCCCAGAGTTCAGGTCCCATGACCGGACTCAAAATAATAATAATAATAATAAAATGTATTCAAAATATGGTCTTGATATGATAGTCAATCCAAATCATTATATAAGGGATATTGACCTATACTCAGAGCTGGTTGCAATTTTATTGCTGAAACTTTTAGATTGAACCTAGGATGCTCCCCATTGCCTTGAATTGTGTTCTAGGAGGCATTTTGTTATAATGGAAACAATGTGGTGGCAATGACACAATAAAGCTTTTAAAAATAGCTTTAACATATTGTTCTATTGTGTAAAATCTCCTTGTATTTGCCAAAACATTTTGCTCTTTCATGAACTGTAAAATGTATATACATTTTTAAAGAACGTGAGACTTCTAGCTCCCCAAACTCCCCCAAATCTACTATTTTTAGTTTGATTTCATAGGTCCATTTTATACCAAAGAGATCAGGAGCTAGAAAAACAAACTTAGCATATTAGCCTTGTGTATTTCTAATGGATTTTCTTTATGCCTATGTATTTTATTATCCTTTGATACCCATATAAGATAGTAATGGAATTCTATTTAGATTATAGTATGTATATGGGTGAAGTCATGCTTTTTATTTGTTAGAAATACAAGGTTCAGGACCCAAATCTATGGAATCACAATTTCTAGAGAAAAGTGAGATGCTTCTGATGTCTACCAAGCTTTGCAAACCAATGCTTTAAAATTCACAAACCATGGATATTGAATCTTAAGGTTCAAACTTCTCTTTTGCTTCTTAAATAGCACAACAAATTTTTTGTAATGAGATAGAATGAAGAATTACTGGGCTTGAGTATTCTGTAGTTTCTTTCTTTAGAAAAATAATGGGGAGCTTGTTTTTTATCTTAATCTCATCATTGAATTCTGTTATCATATTATTATAGGTAGTAGTCAACTCACAAGATGAGCATTGGCCAAGGGTTAAGATAAGTGTTTGCCTCTGTATATAGGAAGTTTTACATCCCTACAATAGACAAATGTCGATTTAAGGAAATATGGAATATCTATCGCAATTAAGGTTACAAAATTAAGATTATCTCCTGGAGTTTGTTGTAAATGGATCTCACTAATTACATGATTGAGCTTGCAGACAGAAAATGCCTAGAGGATAACCCTCCTACTCTACAGAGTGGCTAATAGAGCCCCAGAGGCTATGTGAAATGACACACCGTATAGAAAGAAAAACAGAAACCAAATTCAATGTCCAGAAATCAATCAAAGCCCAGATTTGGTAGAGGTAAAGTCAAGCTGCTAAATAATATACATAATAACATACACAACTCTGTATATCTCAAGTAAAAATGCTTAATTGCCATGATTATTTCAATAACCTTTTTGCAAACTTCTATTTATAGCTTGCCAAATTGTGAAAGTCCTTTTCCTATTGTGATCCTCTTAGTGCCTACTTCCCCTCTTTTTAATCACATTATCAAGTGAAATATTTTAGTTGAAACTAGAATGGAAACAAATGAAACTCAAAAAAAAAACAATAAAGCAGATGACAGCAGGGAAAATGTGAAGATGCCTTACTTTTTAGGAACCCTCTACCTAGAATATACTAGTTGCTTACTAACCGGTTGTTAAAATGAAGAAACCAGGAAAGAAGTCGTGAAGAATCAAATCTTTCTACTGCCAGTCTTTAAATCAAAACTTCCCTATGTTACAGTTATCCAATTTGATGATACTGAGGAAATTTATATTCCTGAAAATGCATCCTGTATAGAGTCAATAGGAATATCTAAAAATATACATCTGCCCATAGTTTACAGAGCTTTCTGGTGCTTTATGTTGCATGCCTGTGTCCTAGTCTTGCAATACAAAAATTACACAAAGACTAGCACCATGTCCATCAAGTGAGAGTTCATTAGAAATGCTGAGTTTGGATATCTCTACCATCTCAGAATCAGCATGTTTGCAAGGTCTCTAAGAGATGCAAAGCATAGTTGTAAGTTGTGGCTCAGTGGAACTAGTTAAGAATCTAGTATTTTTTTCAATATGTGTACAACCTTTCAATATTATAAACTAATCCCACCAGTTTATGCGCATTAAGTCAAGTCACTTTTTTCCCCAGAAGACTGGGAAAATTGTATTCAGAAAATACAAACAACAATCTCGCAGTTTGAAACTCACATTATTTGAATTAAAAACTTGTATTGATATGTTCTAAGTAGCAATTCAAAGATCTCTACATGCCTTTATGGATGACAGTAGGGTTACCATAGATAACAAAATGTACCATATATCTCAAAAGGAGTCTCAATGTTTTCATTGCCAAATGATACATGTTTAAAGAGATAAACATGTTCATTATGTAATGAATTCACATGTTGAAACATTACTGATAGCCATTAATAGGTATAATTTTTATTTTTATAGATCAATTAAAAATAAAGAAATATTTTTAAGAGAAGTATTTTAAAAAACTGTTTACACTGTGGTTAAATAAATAAATGTCATAATAAATGAGTTGTTAACCTTCATGATAAAGTTAGAAAAGTCCTTACCACTAATTCTCAATCTGGCATTTTGTTTCCCACCTCCTTTGCGAAGTTGAGGAAGATTGACAGCTTATCATGGAGGAAAATATACACTTGCCCTGTATTCAGAATTGTGCATCAAGTTTTAGAGATCTGTGAACCAGCCCTAAGCTCTAGATACTTGTAGAGCAAGTTTAAGTCTGTCTTCTACAAACAGCTGTCATTAGTTTTTCTGATAATAGTGTTTTCATAGCTCTCTCTCTAAATGGATGGTTGGATAACAGGTGGGTGGGTTGGATATGGCAAATGAACTCGATCAAACACTCAGAGGATCTTTGCTTTCTCATATATCTGAATTCAAAGGGGTCTTCTTTTTTTTTTTTTGGGTCCGGTCGTGGGGCCTTAACTCTGGACCTGGGCGCTGCCCCTCAGCTCTTCAGCTCAAGGCTAGTGCTCTACCACTTGAGCCACAGCACCACTTCCGGCTTTTTTCTTTTTGCTTATGTGGTGCTGAGGAATCGAACCCAGGGCCTCGAGCATGCAAGGCAAGCACTCTACCACTGAGCCACCTTCTCAGCCCGGGTCTTCTTTTCTTAAGTAAAAAAATGTTTTATGTATTTATAAGACATGAGAATTATTTGTCCACTGTTCTTTCTTTACCTCAGCTGGCCTGGGAGCAGAAGTTTTGGTGAGGAGCACAAGGAACACAATTCCTCCCCAGATCCTCAATGCTTCCAATACAGTTCCATATAGCCCAGAATACCTTGTTAGGAACACCACCGAGGCCTTCATTGAGAATGCCACAGAGGCCTACACCCCAAACAGCAGCATGCCACACCGCCACAGCCTACCCATGACTGGCATTGCAGACACATCATGGATTCCACCAACTACGCAGCCTTTTTCCACCACCACTGAAGAGGTAGGTGAAGGGAGGGAGAGGGTAGATGGAGTAGGGTTGTGATTGGTCCCAGGGAACGGTTGGCTGAAAAGACTTGGCTTTTTAAAAGTACCACTGCTTATAGTAGGCAATTGGTCACATCCCAATTGCAAATTGCATAGAAATGCATTTTGTACAATGAGAAAAGTCCAAATTGAACTTTCTGCGTCTTTATGGGATGACAAAGTAAGTTACTATGTGTTACTATGTGAGTAGAGGATTCAAGGCAGTGGGTTCATTATTGGTGTTTGTATATATGGTCTGAAGTCAGGCATTGGAATTAAAGTCAGTACTTTGCAGGGACTCCTGCCTATGTTGTGATCGTTGATGCTGTAAAGGAAAGGAAAGATGTACAAAACGGTGACAGACTCAGAAATTGCTAGAATTGAAAGGGAACATGAAAAGAAGCCACAGTCATTTCCATATTATCATTCTCCGTGTATGGCCTGTGATCTTGAGTACAGAGGGGATCAGATGGGTCAGGTGACTGACAAGCAGTGAGAGAATGGTCAGAGTCTACTCTTCCTTCTTCTCTTTGGTTTTGTTTGTTTCTCGGAGTTGTGTGCCACAATAGAGGCAACAATAGCATAATCACAGCAAATCAAAAAACTCAAGTTTGGGGGTTAGGAGTGTAAGTTAGTAGTAGATCAAGTCTTAATCATGTTCTGAGACCTGAATTCAAGTCACAGAACGAAAACAAGAAGCAAAACAATTGTTTTTTAAGTTCAGCTTTCATTTAGCAGTGCTTAGCTGTATCCTAATAGACAACTTATATTGGAGCTATTCAAATGACCTAACATTCATTTAATGTTCTAGTTTATTTTGCACTTTGTAGAACCTAATATTTTGCATAGTTGCCAGTGAATGAGTGTATACATCATTACTTATCACAAAGCAAATACAGTGAGTATATTGAACAACTCATAGGGCTTTATTTTTATTTCAACTTTGCATTTGCCATAAATCTTCCCTCTGACATAGTTTTTTTCCTTGCCTCTGAATACAAGTTAAGAAGGCCCCATTACTTTTCTGGAAACTCTTTATATCACCTTTAAAACAGAGCACTCAATCTCTACCCATTAACAAAAGAATCCACTTCAGGAACACAAACTAAATTTGACTTGAAAGGTTAGCTTCTCTTCTTCCATTGATCTACCTAGTTTAGGCTTCAAGAGGGAAATGGGAGACATGGTCAGTCTCTCACTTCCCACCTGGCTTTTTACCCACTTCTCAGCTCAATAATTTGGTTTCAAAGTTGACTGTTTGGAGCAATTAGGAAAGGAAGACAGGGCTTGGGAGCAGGAAAGCCATGACTTAAGGATCCCACCATGAACTGGCACTGTGCTCTCCCTAATTCTCCAACTCCTGAGCCTTTCCAACCACTGAGAGAGAGATCCACATCTTAGTTTTGAAAAGGAATGCTTCTTGGTGGAGTGCCTCCTTATTCAGGCTGCATGTACCTTAACCAAATCTTCCATATTAACATTCGTTGAAAGACCCTTCATTTAAATCTGAGCTAAGTTATACATGAGTCCTTTAAAAATTAAATAATTAAAATGAGAAGCATATGGAATAAAAATTTCCTTAGAAATACATCTGCCTCTACAAAAATATATGTTTGAACAGAGAAGAATATGCTCCATTTTTTGCCTGTGTTTTACCATTGTGAAACAAAAAGAGAAGCCCACAGGTTGACCAGGCTTTGCTGAGATGTGTTCATCACAACCAACCAGCTAGGTTGTCATGGGCATACCACAAGCTGTGTTGATTGAGCACTGTAATGTAAGGCTCACTGTTATGTAATGATCCAGCCTCCAAGCTCGATGTACAGCTTTGTATCATAGTAAACACATTGGTGATTATTAAAAGATACAGATTTCCTTGACCCTTGAAGCTTACTCCAGGAATTCCTATTAAACCATTACTTGATCTAGCAGAAGTGTTTAAACACAGTGTAAACTGCTGTTCTTAGACTTATAAAATGTCAAAATGATCAGGAAATAAAACGAAAGTAATCCTTTGAAAGTAGTATCTATCTTGACAGAAGTCACCTAGAAAGAATAGGTAAGATCATTTAACTTAATTGCTTAAAACTATGTTAAGAATATCTTTGTGTTTCCTTGTTTTCTTTAGTATATTGAGCCTGGTTCATGAGGATTTGGGATTGGCTTATTCTAGCAGAGAGTGTTCCGCTATTGAGTAAAGACAGAGAAAAAAATCTGAACATGAGTTTTTGGAGCTTAAGATCTGTATTTATTTGGCTTTGTATCTCAAGTTTTGTTTAAAAAAAGGAATAAACAAAGTAAAGATGATATTGTTGAATCACCTGAGCAACACAATACAATCAGTTATTGACTGTAGGATCCAAATTCTGCTTGGAATGTACTAAGCAATGGAAATGGAAAGAGATCTCAGACAGGTATTTGTAAATGCATTCTTCATCCAGGAATAGTCAGTTCCTACTTGCTATTTGATCAGTAACATTATGAAATTATCATTATTAAATTGCTAGCATCAGATAGAATTTAGGCACTGAATCTAAGATAGGAAGTGCTATGGTTTGGTTATTGTTTAAGCGTGTCTCTGAGAGGTTCACATGTTAGAAGCCAGGTCCTTAGCATGCTGGTATTTGGAAGAGGTTGCTCTTTAAGAGGTAGCGTCTGTTGGGATGTCTTTTGTATTACTATACTCAGAGGGGACTAAGGTACTTCTCATGAGATCTCTGGTTAGGTCTTACAAGAGTAATGTTATAAACTGGATACAGATAGATGTGCCTGTAATCATAGCTACTTGGGATGCTGGAAACACGAGAATCAGTTTCACATGAGTCTAGTCAGAAAAGCTCTCAATACTACTTCTTAACCCATGTCTGAGCACAATGGCATGCACCTATCTCCTATTATCCTAGCTTTGTGGGATACTAATAAGATTAATCTAAAGCCAGCCAAGGCAGAGCAGTCTCAGCAGAAGAAGCTGGCCTTTATACTGTTACTCCAGCTATAATAAGAAGCATAAAATAGAGGATTGTGGTCTATCCACATGCCTGGGTAAGAAGTTTAAGCCCTATCTCAAAAGTAATCAGTGCAAAAAAACAAAAAAAAAGGCTGGAAATGTGCAAGGTCTTCTTGAACTTCCAGAACTATAAGCTAAATAAACATGTTTTTATAAGCTGCCAGGCCTTTGGTATTTCATTATAGTAAGAGAAAATGGGTTAAGGCAAAAAATTGAAAAGAAAAAAATGACAACCGAAATGTTAGGATTTAAAGTTTGTAAATTCTGTGGCATTACCACTAATTAACATTTGTGCAGTGACTGTCGTATTCTAAATGATCATCAAGAACAAGTGTGTGCCTGTGCTTGGGCCAGTGTTTGACTTCAAAACTTTGCGGTTCCTTGTCCCTTCCCCTACTCTTAACCTTAGACACTAGTTAATTTGTATCATATGTGATATTTTAAAACTTGCCCAAAGAACTTACTCAAATGACTAGGAAGTTACAGAGTAAGAAGTGTACATACATACATACATACATACATACACACATACATACATATGTACATTCATACAGATACACAAACACATACCTGAATTCATAGTCACTCTATTCTCTGACCTTCAGCACCTGTTTTGTTTGTTCATTTGTTTTTGGTGCCAGACCTGGAGCTTGAATTCAGAGTTTGGGCACTATCCTTGAGCTTCCTTTGCTCAAGGCTAGCACTCTGCCACTTTGAGCCACAGCTCCTTCCAGTTTTTTTCTGAGATAGAGACTTTCCTGCCCAAGCTGGCTTCAAACCATAATCGTCAAATCTCATCCTTAGTAGGTAGGATTACAGGCATGAGCTATTGGCCCCCAGCTTCCTTCAGCACCTATCCATAAAGTCAAATGCCAACAAAGACAGGATGTGAAATCCATCAATTCTCATGACGCTTCTGTAAAATTGTTCCAAGCAGAATATACTCCCTCTCTTCTTCCTTCCTTCTCCTTCTCCCTCTCTTTCTCTCTCCCTCCCTTCCTCTCTCTCCTTTACCCTCTTTCTCCCTGGGCTATTTTGCTTAAGACTAGTGTTCTACCACTTGAGCCATAGCTCAACTTTGGCTTTTTTTTCTGGTAGTTTATTGGAGATGAGTCTTAGGGACTTCATTGCCTGGGCTGGATTCATACCATGACCCTCAGATCTCAGCCCTACTGAGTATGTAGATTACAGGTGTGAGCCACCACTGCCTGGCCTTTCCCTCTTTTTTCACATCCTTACTTGTAGTGTAAAGAGTCTAACTTTGAAAGATTGTATAACTAGGGATAGCACTTAGCCTTCTTCAATCCTCAATATTAAATGAAATAACACATTTCATACACTTCAATTGGACCTGGAAAATAGTGGGACAGTTTTAATTAAAATTTGCTACTGCTAATTGTGTTTACTATTATTTTACTTTAATAAATTTTATTTACTATCATTAGCATAAATAGTATTGTGTGGCTGTGTGTTCACAAAGACAAAGCCAGTAAAACAGAAAGCTTGCCTCTAGTATAAGTAAGGAAATTTCTAGATCTCTGGCTCTTCTAGCGTGGATCCCAGTCTCAGAATTTATTATAAATACCACCACCAAGCACTCTATCTACTCTAAACCTACTGAGTCAGGAACTCTGGATGTAGGGCTCACCTCTCAATACACCATCCCCAGCAACCTGGTTTGTTTTGTTTTGTTGTATTGTGTTGTGGGTCCTGGGGGCTGAACTCTGGGCCTGGGCGCTGTCCCTCAGCTCTTCAGCTCAAGGCTAGCGCTCTACCACTTGAGCCACAGCACCACTTCCGGCTTTTTTCCGGCTTACGTGGTGCTGAGGAATCTAACCCAAGGCCTCATGCATGCGAAGCAAGTACTCTACCACTGAGCCAATTTCCCAGACCAGCAACCTGTATTTTTACAAGATCCCCACGTCTCACTGATATACTAGTAATTTTGAGAATCACAAATCTAGATAAAG